GGTGCACTGGGATAAAATCGTTTTGTGATTAAAAGGATTTTGTGTTCTGGAATCCTCATTCCAGCTGATTATTTTCTGGAAGGGTTAAAATGTATAATAATTGATGCCCACCTTCATTCAAAAATCTCTGAATGGCTCTTTGGGATTGCTGCACAACATGCAAACTGCTAGGCGAGGGCAATTCTTAGATGAGATTGGCAGAATGGATGAAGTCACAGAGCTATTGCTATTCCTAAAATTTAATGATAATCCCAGGGGCCATAAAATCAGCCCTTCTGCCTCTTTGGCTTCCCCTCGACGACGAGACTGCCTGGATATAAGTGTGAGACAGCAGCTCCCTGGGCACAGAGACCTCACCTCTTCTGGATTTTGCTTTTTACTGCACCTCCCATGGCATGATTTCCTTAAAAGTATGAAAATGGCTCAGAAATGCCTGTGATGGAAAGTGGAAGTCACTCATCCCTACTACACCAGACGGGTCTTCCCAGGAAATTGTGAGAGTTTAGTTAGGAGAAGGAAATTATATATGTTGCTTTTTTAAAAAGTTTCCCTCACTTTATGGTTCCTTTTATGCCAATTTGCTTACTAGTAGAGGAAAAGAAGAACATGGACTTACAGATAGTCCTGAAGCAGATCTTAATGACTGCCTAGGACCGCGATGTCCAGTAAGGTATGTACTTTACTGAATCTTGTTTTCAAGCTGTCTTTATGGCAGTGATAAAGTGGACAGCCCCCGTGATGTCATTGTTTGTCCCCTTAAATTGTTACCTCCCATGCACCTGTATCTTCGTAAGGTATTTGTTATGCTTATTTATCTTTCCCAATCCAAGGAAAATATAAGTGAAAAATCCATGTAGACTTAGAGCCTGACAGCAAGGTGATTCTTCCTGCTTCTAGCTGGGGGAGCAGAGAGGTACAGTGCAGAGGGCACAGTGGTAGAGAAGCTGGGTGGTCTTCTGGCTTCTCCTGGACAGATTACTACGAGGTGAATTCCTGGAACATCAGGCATAGATATTGGGAGTTGAGGAACCCAATAAATGACACCCCACTTTTTCCCATCTGTGCTCACAACCAGGAGCCAGGCAAATGGAGACCAAAATGCTGCCATTATTTATGGATAAAGTTTTTGGGAGAAAATGACTCAAGAAATAATGGGCTTTCTAACATTGCATTCTAGAATAAAACACACTTATCCAGCCACAGACAAAACTAGCCAATGGAGTACCTCCCCAAGGGGATTGTGCCTACAAAATGGACAGCATGGAGGAACAGAATACATATGTTTTCCCTCTGGCAGGTCCAAAACACAACACAGGGATGGGGCTGAGCAAACTCACCAGCCACATGAATCATTCCTTCCCTGGGGAAGAGAGAATGAAGGGAAGCCAGGAGTACTACTTGGGTGGGAAAGTGGGCTCCAGCCTCCTGTCCCCCCACTGCCTGAGAGTAGTCATCACCCAAGGTTGACACAGGAGCCCCTCTAGAGCCAAAATGAACTTGGGATTGGATCTGACAGTAGCATGGTAAGAGTTTGCTCTTGTGCCACTTCGTTAGTGACACATCAATGTTTTTCTTTCCCTTACAGGAGACAGATTTTGTTTGCTTTGATGGCAGAAGAGACGATTTTTTTTTTTTTCCTTTTGTTTTTGTCTTTTTTCGTGTCCAGCCACGGGATCGCAACCCTCGGTGTTGCTCAGCCAGTGAGCGGCCGGTCTGTATGTGGGATCCGAACCCTCGGCGGGAGCACCACCGCGCTTCCCAAGCGGCGCACTATACCAGTGCGCCACCGGGCCGGCCCAGAAGAGACGATTTTGATAATTATAATGTAGAAGAACTTTTAGGGTTTTTGGAATTATACAATTCTGCAACTGGAGATTCTGGGAAAGCTGTAGAAAAAACTTCTCTGCATGTGCATGTGGAAAAAACTCCTGAAGTATCGAAGGAAAATGAACCTGAACCTGAGCCAGAAGAAGCCAACTCAGAGGAAAACAAAAGTGTGTTTCTAGAACACACTAATGGTCTCAAGGAACGGTTTATAGCTGAGAAGAACCATGCAAACAGTCAAATGGGTGATGCTAAGGGAGAGTAGTGTTTGTTTGAACCTCTTGAAGAAATGCTGCAAGATCAATTAAAAGTGCCACAAAGTGAAAACAACAAAACCAGCAATAGTTCTCAGGTGTTGAGTGAACAGGAGAAGATTGATGCTTATAAACTTTTGCAAATGGACATGACTCTGGGGCCAGCCCGTGGCTCACTCGGGAGAGTGTGGTGCTGATAACACCAAGGCTACGGGTTCGGATCCTATCATTCATCCCGGATAGCAAACAGGAGACACCAAGATCATTCATCCCGGATAGCAAACAGGAGACACCAAGATCATTCATCCCGGATAGCAAACAGGAGACACCAAGATCATTCATCCCGGATAGCAAACAGGAGACACCAAGATCATTCATCCCGGATAGCAAACAGGAGACACCAAGATCATTCATCCCGGATAGCAAACAGGAGACACCAAGATCATTCATCCCGGATAGCAAACAGGAGACACCAAGATCATTCATCCCGGATAGCAAACAGGAGACACCAAGATCATTCATCCCGGATAGCAAACAGGAGACACCAAGATCATTCATCCCGGATAGCAAACAGGAGACACCAAGATCATTCATCCCGGATAGCAAACAGGAGACACCAAGATCATTCATCCCGGATAGCAAACAGGAGACACCAAGATCAGCCATAGATTATACTGGCCCTGAAAATGTAGAAGATTGTGAAAGAAATAATGTAGAAGTCCCTGAAGGAAATAATGGGAAAGACCCAGAAGTGGACACAGAACTTCACATTAGAGGCAAAAGGAAGGAAGTTCAAGAACCTGAGAGGGCCCTGGTACAAAGTGAGAGTGAATTAGACGGTGAGAGGCAGGAGGAGATGGCTGTGCACAGCTCTACTCCAGACAGTAACCCTGACTCTTTATTAGCTGCTGAAAAGGGTAAAGACATATTAAAATCTACCTCTGGTGACAGAGAAAATTACCAGAAAGGAGCAGCTATTCATATCTCAGAATGCACACACCACGGAGAAAAGCCTGGGGAGCTGATTTTGGAAGGTGGCTCAGAGAGTGGATCTGTACATAACGCTGCAGGGAATCAAATGAATGAAGAAAAGATTAAATGGGAATCCTTGGACATGTGCCACTTTTGGGAGATAATCCACATAATGCATCCAGAGACAGTGTGGCAGAAGTGAATGTTTTGGTAAGTGAACCAGAACCACACATGCCTTCAATGGAGCATCAACATGAGGAATTGAAAGAGGAAGTATTTCTTAAAACTCAAAATCAGCCTAGATTCTCCTCTCCAGATAAAATCAGTTTGCCGAGAGAACAGAAAGCAGAGGCTACCTCTCCAGGAAGAAATCTTTCCGAGCAATGAGGAAGAGCTGTGGCCGCTGCAGGCAGCGAGCGTGTGAGTGAGAAGACAAGGCCCACTGCGGCACGCGGGAGGCAGACCAGACTGACAGCGCACGAGGGCCAGGTTTCCATGCTGAAAATCCAGAAGCAGCAGAGGATGACTATCCCCCTGAAGAGCTACTGGAAGATGAAAATGCTGTCATTGCAAAACAGTCTAGAGAGAAGAGCCCTGGGACTCAAAACAGGCAGGCAGACGTAAATGTGCAAGTCGCCGAAAGAGCAATTTCAGGAACCATTAACCCTGATCTGGAAACTGAAGAAAACAAACAAGAAACCAGTAAGATTTGGGATACTAAAGGAAAAGGGAACCTGTGGACGAAGGAGTAGACACAATAAGCAGGGATCCACGCGGTATGGTGGTGGAAAAAGAAGACAGCCCTCTGGTAGATAAGAAAGCACAGAAACCGTCTGACGTAAGTGACTTCCCGGACAAGGAGAAAACTAGGACTCCAGAGCTAGACGAACCATTTCAGAATAAAGATGATCTGGAGAAAGACAACCCAGAGGAACCCCTCGGGGTTGCAGAGAAGCCTGGCGGAGAACTCTTGAAAGAGGACCCAGGTGGTATGGTGGTGGAAAAAGAAGACAGCCCTCTGGTAGATAAGAAAGCACAGAAACCGTCTGACGTAAGTGACTTCCCGGACAAGGAGAAAACTAGGACTCCAGAGCTAGACGAACCATTTCAGAATAAAGATGATCTGGAGAAAGACAACCCAGAGGAACCCCTCGGGGTTGCAGAGAAGCCTGGCGGAGAACTCTTGAAAGAGGACCCAGGTGGTATGGTGGTGGAAAAAGAAGACAGCCCTCTGGTAGATAAGAAAGCACAGAAACCGTCTGACGTAAGTGACTTCCCGGACAAGGAGAAAACTAGGACTCCAGAGCTAG